GCAGCGGAATAGGCCTCGTTTCTGACTTAGTGGCACAAAACTGTAGAAATTAGTGAATTGCTCCCTTTTCCCCTTGTTACTACTGATTGGTTTGCCTAAAACATTCGTTAAGTCTTCCGTCTGCTATTATAAATATATCATCCACATAGCGAGCATAGGATGGAAGGTCTTTTATAATGGGAGAAAGTTTGTTGCTCTCCATTGTGCCCGTGAAGGTATCCGCTAATAGAGGTCCAAGAGGTGATCTTATTGCTACACCATCGATTTGGCGGTAAAATTGGCCATCAAAGCTGAATTGCACGTGTAAAGTGCAGCTTAAGCGTAATTGCTTCATGTCTCCGATCGGTATGCCGATGGAGAACTCCTGTTTCACAATTTCGGCACACAAAAATTCTATGGGTTCTGTGAAAGGAATGTTGGTGAACAGTGACGCGACCTCTAAGGATAACATCGTTTTCCCTTGGAGATTAGTGTTTCTTAAGACTAGAATCTGATCCCCTTGATCCCTTTACACCTCTCTCCCCCTCTTTCCCCCCTGTTACCACTAATTGGTTTGCCTAAATCTTTCGTTAACTCTACCCTCCCTTATATTACTGTATTGCCTGATGATGAATTAATCGAAAACGTTCGGTCGCCTAACTTGACTTCCTTAATGCTTGCATGGGTATCATCGCTGAACTTCAACAATCCAAACATTTTAATGTGTTTACAACTCGCTATAAAAGAGGGCTTAAAGAGTCGATTCAGGGGGAGGGGTATTCGGCGATCAATGGGTCAGATTCTAGTCATAACAAGGGGCCAGAGAGGGGGAGGGGAAGGCGAAACACCGACAGCGAGACGACATGACTAATTGTCGGTCCCCTCCTCCCTGCCTCCTCTCTGACCCCTAGCTATCTCCAGAATCTGACCCCGTTGATGGCTGAACACCTCTCCCTCTTACTTACTACTGATTGGTTGTTTAAACATTTGTTCACCCTGCCCATTTGAAGCTAGCCGAGGCTCTTTAGTCGGCAGGTAGGGTAACTAGTACGAAGAGCACTTTAATTCTGACCACTTACAAGTTTTAAGGCCGATAGGTCCAGCGCTTGCTGGTATCGCAAGGGCTCAAACGGTCGTCCACAGAGGATGTTTTCGCGTACGGTCCCGGCAAAGACCCAAGTGGCCTGGGGCATATAGGCAACATCTTCTGAGCGGCTGGCAGACCCGCTGGCCAATGGTAGTTCGCCCAGCATGGCTTGCAGTAGGGAGGACTTAAAGGAAGAGTAGACAGCAGCGTAAATAAACTGAAATGGAAGGAGTGTCAGGGGGTGAGCAGCTAGGAACGGACACTGAATATGTAAATGCCGAAAG